TCTCTCTCTCTCTCTCTCTCTCTCTCTCTCTCTCAGTACTGGTTCCCGGAGCTCTTGCGGGTTAGTTCCTAAACATCATTTTCCGCACCAGTGTAGTAGTGTAATATATGTGTTCTTGCTTATCGATAAAAGAGATTGGTGTTATGTTGGTAGCTGATTGTCGGAAAGTATCTAGTTCCCCAGCTTCCAGATGGGTTAGAGTAGTATAGTGTTTAAAGAGATTGCTTCGTGAGCTTCAGGAACAGCGAGATTCTTTTAAAGATGTCGGTTTTCCTCTTAAAGGCAAGTGATAATTATAAACAGCGAGAAATGACTCGTTGATCGATGTCAAATCGATCTCGAAATCGTCAAATTAAAGTCGACTTGATATTATTTTGATCGATGAGTTATGTCTGGATATTAAGGTATCTTTTCACGCATCGCTCATCGCTCGTTTTCTGCAATATGCTGATGTCATGCAGTCGCTAGCGACGTGACATTGCAATAAGATTATATGTATGTTACAAACTTACACACATTTTAACGAGTATTATTTACTGCAATATATCATTAACTTTACAAGATAACCTTACATTATAATATTTATAAAATTAATATACTCTTTAACATTTCAGCAAACTGTGCAAACAGTAAATATATATAATTATTTCATTTCTTGTGTATTCTGAAAATATTACACAATAAGAACATAGTTTATTAATAATTACTTAATTGTATATACAAATTTTGTTCATATATAGAATTTTTTGGTAAAAATGCCGATGGATAATGAAATGGTAATTATAATATTGTATGATGAATATATTGAATATGTATAATAATATCTTTAGTATTAATACTAATAATATATTTAATGTCTTTTTTAAATGTAAATATAAATATGTTATTTTTAATTATATAGATTATGTCAAAAATATAAAAATAATATTTTATGTAACGTACACAAAAAAGCATTGAAATAAATAAAATATTTATTGTATATATATATTTTTTTTTTCTAAAATATTTTTTGTAGAATAAATCTCGTGTTTAAACGTGTGGATTATGCGAAATTACCATTAATCATTTTTACACACTCAGTTATCCAATTATAATATTTTTCTGATTGTGATATTGTAACTATATTTATTTTGGAGCAATTGTTAATAGAATTCCTCATCTGACGCTACTACATTAAAATTACGTCATTAGAAAATTTGTTTCATGCTCGATAGTTAGTCGCTATAATCCAAAGCGATAATCCAATGACGTGATTCTTTTATCGCTCAAAACGAGCGATGAGCGATGTATGATAAGGTACTATTACTGTTAGTTATAATATCCTACTTAATGATATAAATATTACATAACATATATGTTATATAACAATTACATTGTTGAGTGAGAAATTATTTATAACGCAGTTATAAATTATTGAATACATTGTTGAGCGAGAAATTATTTATACAATTTTAATTTATTAACAGTTATATAACTGTTATTTAGTGTTTACTAGAATTGTACTAAATGTTGTAACAGATGGAATATGTATAAAACTTCAAATAATACAAAAAAGATTCTAAAATTATTTTGAAAGTGCACATTCAGTAAATAAAGAATATTAGATCAACATCTTGAAATATTGATTTTACGCATATCTCTTTTAGTTTAATATTTAAAAAATATTTCAAAGATATTATCAGATACGATTCTTTTGAATAGTGTAAAAATGTTTTAGAAATATTAAAGTGTTGAAATTATTCATAATAATGTTGATACAACATTAAAAATTATATATTAAAAAACATTACACATTACTAAATATCGTTGCAATAATAACGTTCTATTCTAATGATTTTTGCTTACTGGACAGAACGCTTTCTTAAGACATTTTCCATGTCATTATGATATGTTGGAAATAATATTTTGTCATGTCATTTTGTGATGTCTCTAATGTTATCACAAGCGCTTTGAGTAAAACGTAATTGTTTGCGACAAGAGAGAGAGAATTTTATTGAAAAGTTTTATCATGTTTTTTCTTTTATGGATCGATAGATACAATATTTCGCATTAAGCGATTACAGCGAGACCGGTAATACATAATGTAAATATCCAACAAGAGATTGGATATGAAATCTGATAATGTTAAATTTTGCGTATAAATAAGCGAGACGTAAAAACAGATGGTTAGTTATTTAATTTTTCTGATCCAAAAGAAATACGAAACGTTCTCTGATTTTTATTCGTTTAACGCAGTAAGTTGATTATTCATTTCTATTTTGTCGATAATAATTTATTGATCTGTCATTCTCTATTTCTATTTTTCCAATAATATATATATATATATATAATTTATTATCGATTGAAATTTTTTTCTTTATAAAGAAATATTAATCAATTTCTTTAGTATTACGTTACACGATATATTCTTAAGTGATAAATTGTAATACATGTCTCAGTCTTTTGAGTTGATCAATTTGAGAAAGAATTTCGTGTAAGATGTCATACTCAGTTTTTAAGTTTTTTAAAATCTTTGAGTTTTTAAATCAAACTATTTAACAAATTAAGTAGTGAATTTTTTTCAGGCATAATTTATATCTTTTGAAGATAATAAAGCGAATAAAGAAAAATCTCTCGCGTTTTGCAAAAGATTTTATACTTTGAAGCCGGAAACAGTGTTGGAAATACCGAAAAGATATCAAAATATCAGGTGCAAAATCTCAGGTGCAAAATATTAGTCATGTTGAGATAATTATCATATCGTTTACTACGTATCATTTGTTTACGTACCTCGTATCATTTGTTTTAAATTTATTATGAACAATGAATAATGCAATGAATAGTGATAGATGCCAATAAATACACAAATAATATGATATCAATAACACGAAAAATACGATAAATAATTATATCAATATCTAGACCAATATGTAGAATGTATGTATCAACATCTAAAATGATTTACATAATTGAGACGTCTTTCTGCGTCTTACTTGCCACGCCTTATTTGTTAGCCTTGCCACTTTAGTTCGACCAGCAGGTTACAGCCTCAGAACCGTTGATATCAGAAGATATATGAAGTACTTTTTAATAAAAAAAATTCTTATTAAAATATAGCATTTTACAAATCTTATGATTCTGATCAATGATTCCGAGGCTGAGCGTCGCTATTACCAGTCGTATGATTTATCAGGCCAATTGAAGTGACAAGTACAAGTAGGCGTAGCCCCTAAAAAGCAACCTAAAAAGATCACGATGACATTAAAACAATGTCAGTTGATTTTTTTTTTTTTTTCATTACGATATTATCTTGATTGTCTGTTCCACTTGGGAATCTTCGAAAATCGCTTTAATTATACAAATAATTCCGATCATTGAATTTTAATTACCAATCAGTTAAAGAAATTTAAATATAAAATCTAAATGACATCCGTTTTTTTTTCAAATTGTAATTAATGATTGATCTTCTTTTATTCTTTTTAGTTTATCCTGCTCATATCTAATCGTACGATTGATTTTAATTATAATTATCATATCAGATAGATGGCTTATAAGTATCTTATTGTTGATATAGTTAATTCAACTTCCAGTTGACTACGTACTACGTGCCTATATCGACTAGTCGATATCAGTATAAATTAAGGTGCCACCTCTTTGCGAAATCAGTCGTACAAGTGCGCTTGAAGCAAATAGACGGCTTAACGAAAGTGTAAACAATTCTTCCTACGATGGAGACGGTAGAGTCGACGAGCTGTTCCTTAATTTACTGCACGACGGCATTAGCGATATTCATCGGCCTCTTCTATGCATATGCCAAATACAAGTTGTCTTACTGGAGCAGACGCGGAGTCAAAACTCCTCCCACGCACTTGATCTTCGGTAACTTTAAAGACTCGCTTCTTTTCAAAAAATCGCCCGCGGAAATGATGCGCGAAATCTACGACAGTGCCGATCCAGACGATCCTTACATCGGCTTTTACATCTTTCACAAACCCATGCTACTTTTGCGGGATCATGATCTCATCAAGCAGATGATGGCTAGACACTTCGATATTTTCCCGAATCGACGATTCGGTTCGTCAACTGGCACGGACATAATGGGTTTGCGTAATCTCCTCGCTATTAGATCCCAGCCAATTTGGAAATATTTGAGGGCCAAATTAACTCCAGCTTTAACCGGACAGAGGTTGAAGGCCATGATGCCGCTAATAATGCAGTGCACGGAACCTTTGTTGACATATGTCGATGGATTACCAACAGATAAGAATGGTTGGATGGAGCCTCAAGACATGCTAGAAATTTCATCCCGTTATATCAATAATGTTCTCGCCTCTGTGATATATGGTATCGACGTGAATTCATTTGACGTTAACGATAGCGGCTTTTTTGAAGCAGGTAAAATTTTTTACTGTTCTTAATCGACGTGGAATTATTAAAAACTGTCAATTGTGATCGATTGATGATCACTCTTTGCACGCGTTATATCTATGCGCTTTTTATATATAACAATCAATTACTGTTAATTTGGTTTATAAATAACAAGTGAACATTGGTTATTTAATTATAATTATTAATTAATTAATTAATAACAATTAATAGTTAATTAATTAATTAATTTAAATATTAACCCTTAGAGTATAGAGCTCCTATTCTACAGGGTCCTCTAAAAGTCTTAGAACGCTAAAATATCTCAAAAACAATACATTTTGGAAAAAAGTCTCAGATAAAAGTTGTAGGTTTTAGAATGACCTACTTACGGGGAAAATGATCTACACTTACTTATCAGTTTGACTTAGTGCGGTATCACCAAAGCAAAGTCATGTTAAACTTTTTAAATGGAACCTCCTACTTTTTATTGCATATTCTTGTAACTTATCTCGAGAGCTTCCCAAAACACTATAATAACGTATTTTTTCATTAAGTACTTTTTAAGTAATGAAACTTGAAAATTATAATACCGCCGGCATTAGCATTACCCCCCCCCCCCCCC